ACAACAAACACATACCCCCAACACACACATACACACTATTAGGCACAAAAGAAAAACAGCAAAGAGGCTTTGCCTAAAACATAAAATTCAAGAGACAAGCCTGACAGCTAATATCCAGAGGCAAGAACATTCTTATTCCATTAAAACATGTGTCCTGTCTGGCAAGTGCTCCTACCAGACAAACTGGATGGATGCCCCAATAGTCCACAGTGAGAAGTCTAGGTGACCTTAAAAGAAGGAAGAGAAGTCGCCTTTCCAGGGAAAAGAATAAGTAAGCATCAAGCAGAAAGTGGAGCTGGGGATGTGGCTCAAGAGGTAGCGCGCTCGCCTGGCATGTGTGTGGCCGGGGTTCGATCCTCAGCACCACATACAAACAAAGATATTGTGTCTGCCAAAAACTAAAAAATAAATATTAAAATTCTCTCTCTCTCTTAAAAAAAAAAAAAAAGCAGAAAGTGGGTGTACAGTCTGTGTAGGAACTCACCTGCAGAGACAGGCTGTGACTGATGACAGTGAAAAGCAGTCAGGTCCAACACAGGTAACTCAGCCGTCTCCTTCCAAAGAATGCAGCCCTGATAAAGTCAGAACCTGATCAACTGATCTCCAACCAGACCAGAGCCAGAACAGACTATATGAAGGGCAGGGGTATTATGCAATCTGGAAAAGGAATCCCAAAAGCAAGTTTACTATTGGATCTGGCACTGACAGGAGGAAAGGGCACAAAAACAATATATCCATGACATGGTGACAGTGCACCTATAATGAGAACACCAGTCAACCATCTCCCTGTGCTCTGGTGCTGGTCCACCTGAGTCCCCGGCTACACTGCAGTCTTTGGAAGAGGGTGATCTCAACTCCTCTTCTGGGACTACCACTCACCCCTATGAACTCACCTACTATCACTTCTTTCCCAGTCAACCCCACCTAGGCCAGATCAGCTCTTAGGAATAGCCAGAACTTAGGACTAAACACTGTGGTGGGTCCCTGGGTCAAAAGGCAATAATGGGGTGCAGACCATATTCCAGGGAGCCTTCATTCTTTGGTAGCTTCTTACCTTTGACATTTTTTACATGAAATTTGAATGAGCAAACCAGCATATCCCTAAATGGGGTACCAGGAGCCTGAATTTCAACCTCTGTGATGCTTTTGGAATGGCAAGAATAATAAGGCCATGGGGTAGGCAGAAAGAGGGCAAGGCCCTTTCAGGATTGACTCAGACATCTGTTTCCAGCTGTTAGCAGAGACCAAAGGAGGAGATTCTAGTTGCTGCAGACATTGTTTTGCAATGAGAAAGGTCACACAAGGAAAAGCTCGGATATGATTCCTCCCTCTCTCAGACCCAATATCCAAAGGGACTGAGCCATTCTCATTCCAACATGTCTCCTGTGTTCCATCACCACTGGCAGGGTCTTCATGTCTTATATTCAGGACCTCATGGTGTCTCAAGCTGAATAATACACTCCTCCCTCTTCTACTTTCCACCTGCTTTACTTCATAGTCCCCAAGCCCACTGAGCAATTTTTCCAGAATATAGATCTGACCTTCTCTCTTAATGAAACTCCCAACCTACAGGACAGAAGGCCTATCGTGGGCAGAGGAAAGCCTTGCCAGCCTTTCCAGCCTCAATGGAAGCATAGGCTATGGCATCCCACAGATCACAGCCAACTCTAACATTAACCACTTCCTGGACATGTGTTTCTGTCCCATTTCTACATCTGTACATAGGGAATAACACAAGCACCTTCTCATAACTGCTATAAGGTTAAGTCCAAGTTGTGAAGAGCCTAGCTCTCCAAGAGTGATCAATCCTACCAGTCAGTCCCCAGCTGCTCAGCGTGTCCGCTCCTTCCCTACCACCATGCTGAACCACCTCTTTATAATGAATGAACAAGAATTAACACAGAAGAAGGCACATGCTCAATCTAAAAGAGGCTATCAAAATGTGAATGAGACCAAAATTAATTCATTATCAAAACCATGCAAGAGGAGGAAAATAAGAAAACATTACTTTTGGGAGAAAATGATTTTAAAATATATATCTTTATGATGTTTTGGACTTCATTTGTTCCAAAGATTTAGGAAGATGACATCTCAAAGGCTCACAAAGGAGACTTCTATTTTTTAAAAACTATTTCTTAATTAATATCTTCAGAGAACTAAGAGTACTTTTATAGGCTGACTGAATCTTATTAATTCTCAGAGAAATTCTGGCATCAGTCACAACAAACACCCTCTTGGAATTTAATTTCCTCTTCAGCATACAACTTACTATGGAAATTCATTTATGATGCCACCACAACCAGTCAAAATCTGCCTAGAGCACAAAATCTTCAAAGTCCCAGAAGAGAACCTTACTTAGGACTAGGTGGAAACTAGCCTTATATTTGGTCAAATAGTACATACAACAAACAGACATTTTCTCCATGTCAAACTTTTCAGCTTCTACCATCAGCCACATTAAACTCTTACATCTCCTTCCTGCCTCTCTCTGGCCCACTATAGCCGTTCCAGTGCCCTCCTTCAGCCCAAGCCCCCCAAATTCAGTGCATTTTCCCTGTCCAATGAAAAAAAAAGGAGAGAAGGCCACAAAGAAAAAGAGAAGTCCATGAACAAAAAGAAACTAGCTAAATTCATCAACTTCCTGCCAAAGACTTATTCATTCTGGCTTCTGGTTTCATTCAATTTCTTTTTGGACTAGATGATCACTAAATATTTACTTAATACACTGGGGTGAGGGCAAACGCTAGAAGAATTATTTATAAGAACAAAAATGTACTTTAAAAGCCTTTTTTCCCTGAGGACAATTCCTACTGGAAGACTTGATCAATCCCATTATCCGGAGTGTGTGAAAGCCACTGAGACAAAGGAGTAGCCAACCTTTACTGAACACCCACTGTAATTCACACATACATCTCACATAAGGCAGATGGCATTGCCCTGATTTTTCATATGAAGAAACCAGACTCAAAGAGGTCAAGGCAATGGGATCAGGATTTTCATTCTGGTCCACCAGACTCCCTAGACCACTTCTCACTCTACTTCCTGTGCTTATGTTACAATGTCCTACATTAGAGTACTTTACAGTTTACATGTTTCTTTTCACATATATGATTTCATTTAATTATCACATCCCTGTAGGAAAGCTAAGAATTCCTTTTCCACCATTACAAAATTTTGCTTGGACTCAAAGATCATCAGTAACTTGTACAAACCTGCTACAATACAGAGTTTGCCCTCACTTAGCTTTTTTCACCTATAAACTGATGTTCCTTCTTACTTCACAGTGCCTAATATATGGCAGGGGCTCAAATGGTGACTATTATTAGCAACATGATTTTTATCAGTTAAAGTAAATTATACACATTCACACTATAGATATTTTAAAGACCCAACATAATTAGTCTTTACTTGGAGAAGACATCATTTCATTTTATCACTGGCTCAAATTCAGGGATAGCCACTAACACAGCTTCCAAGGGAAGAAAAAAAAATGAAAATGATGTGGTTGCCTGGTACAGTGGTAGGTGCCTATAATCCCAGCAACTCAGGAGGCTGAGGCAGGAGGATCATAATCATAAGTTCCAGGCCATCCTCAGCAACTTAGAAAGGCCTTAAGCAACTGAGCAAGGCCCTTTCTCAAAATATAAAATAAAAAAGGCTGGGGATGTAGCTCGGCAGTAAAACATCCCTGGCTTCAAAGCCCAGTACCCACCACCACCATTTAAAAAAAAAAAAAGTGTGGTCAAACCCAATATGGATTTTGAAAGTTACTAACAGGAGAAGAGCATTCAGTTGATAGAATACAAAAAATCCTCCCTATCTTCCAGCATCATGACTTGACCATTAACGTGCTATTTAACTGCAGTTATTTTAATTCTGTGATGGTCCTTAACATCCAAAGCATTTCTTAGGAGAAGTTGCTCAGGGACTATGGGGAATAGGGGTGGAGTGGAAAAGATACATATTGTTGGTTCAAGTTATTTTTAACGTGCTGCGTCTAGCACTGAGGCTTGCCTATTTACTATACTCACTTGAAAAGAAACCAGGTTAATTCAGAAATGCCACATGCAGTGGGAATCAGCTCATTTCCCCAAATCAGAAAGAAAAGATGCAGAATTGTGGTGACATAAGGATCCCAGCATCAAACAAACAGAAAATTTATATTATGGGAATGAGAGGTCCTACAGGTGTTCTTGGCCTACAGAGACCAATCCAACTGAGCATCCACTCCAATCTTGAAGGTTTAAAAAAAAGAAAAAAAAATTCAGGTAATATTTTCTAAACAAAGCAACTTTATAATAAAGACAAACAGCCAACTGCACCAACTACCTGCATAAGAACAGTATCACAATGTAAAACTAGTATGCAATTATTATCAGCTTTTTGTTTTGCTTTTTGAATATTGCTTCTCGTCTGTTTTCGTTTAAATGTTTCCTAATTTCCTTGTAAGAACAGGCTTAGGTTTATTGTGTGTGACTACTCTGGTCTCACAAGCAAAAAGACTCCATCAGAGTATTTCACTGATAAAATTGAGGTTCAGACATGGCAAGTGGCTCATCCAAGGTCATACTGCTTAGAAACACATCTAGGCTAGAACAAGAGCTCAAGAGGCCCACAGTCTGAGTCTCCAGCTGCATCACTGCTGCAAACGACCTGGTATACTGGTGTCTTGAATACAAAGTTTATTTGAGAGGAAAAAACAACCAACATGAGTCATCTCCCTTGTCAAGGGGCACCACACAGGTTGTTCTAATAAGGCATTCAGCCTCTTCAGAACCACCTGTTTCTGAAATAACCAGCCTCAGCTAGAGAATAAATGCCATGTCTTCTACCCACAAGCCCATAAGCAGATGTGTCCTGCAGTTTGGCAGCTTCTACCCCAACCCTGGCGCCTGGGTGTGGGCAGAAACTGGACAGGGAATGGAGTGGGAGGGTATGCGAAAAGATAGCTTTTTTCAGATAGTTATGATTTCATGCTGCTTAATCCTAATCCTACTCACCTTGGAACACCCCTAAGTATATCATCCACCAGGCTGTTCCTCCTCAACTTCCCCAGGACAAAAACACTGTGCAGTCTCAGAGGTGAATCTGGCAGATGGGAAGGGCGGCACTTGATCCCGGCCGCAGAGGGAGCCAAGCTCAGCTCCCTCCCTGCCCACCCTTACTGGAACTCTCGGGTCTTCACACTCCACAGTCGTCCCTAACTCTGGGCCTGACACCTCCCTCGAGTCAGCCCCGGGCCAAGGCAGGGAAGGGATAAAGCTCCCTCCGCGCTACCAGTTCGTCGCAGGTCCCTCAGCTCCGGGGCTCGCCACGCTCTGGGGCCTCGCACAGTCCCCGAGACCGGCTGGGCCCCCAGCCGGACACCTGCCGCAATCCCTGCGGGCGCGGGCCCCATGTCTCCCGCCTCCCCAAACGGGGCCCTCCCGACCGCTCCGCACCCGCACTTCCCGCCCGGCCAACACGGGCTCCCGGTCCGCCCCAACTTTTCCGGCCTCGGCCCCGAAGCAGCTGGGATGCCGCGTCCGGAGGTGCGCAG